CTCTTCTGCCCTTCCCTCTGAGATTCATCAGTCTATTCCAGGGGTGGGCAAACTTTTTGACTCGAGGGCCACAATGGGTTCTTAAACTGGACCGGAGGGCCGGAACAAAAGCATGGATGGAGTGTTTGTGTGAACTAATATAAATTCAAAGTAAACATCATTACATAAAAGGGTACGGTCTTTTTTTTTTTTAGTTTTATTCATTTCAAACGGGCCGGATCCGGCCCGCGGGCCGTAGTTTGCCCACGGCTGATCTATTCCATGTTTCCAAGTCTGTGCATTGAGTGTCTGCCCCCTGGTGGTCATTGCACATCATAGCTACTGGTCAAACGGTAGAATGGTTGCTTAGGCTTTTATATATATAAATATGTGAAATTTAGAAATTTAAGTGGTTCAGGTCAAATATTCCTCATTTGTAAAATAAAGGGGTGGACTAGATTATTTTATGGTCCCATTTAGCCCTAAAATTTTATTTCTAGTGTATTGCAGATCACAGTCTAATATAAATATGGATGCTTGAGATTTTGCACTTAATAAATGGGGAAATTTATTATAAGTTCTTTTTGAGAGTTTTAGATCCACAGTGGTGGATGGGATCTTAGAAGTTATCCAGTTCAAACTCCTACTAATTTCAGGAATCCCTTTTTCTTTCTTTTTCTTTTTCTTTTTTTTTTTTATAATATATTTTATTGATTTCAGAGAGAGGAAGGGAGAGGGAGGAAGAGATAGGAACATCAATGATGAGAAAAAGTCACTGATCGGTTGCCTCCTGCATGACCCCCACTGGGGATTGAGCCCGCAACCTGGGCATGTGCCCTTGACCAGAATCGAACCCAGGATCCTTCAGTCTGCAGGCCAACACTCTGTCCACTGAGCCAAACCAGCTAGGGCAGGAATCCCTTTTCTAACATCCCTGACAGTGGGTTTTCTAACCTCTTCTGAAAAGAGCCACTGACAGCTTAATTCTTATTTAGGTCTAAATTGTGGTTACAGGTGCTTATAGATAGAAATAATAGGCATGGGATAAGGAAGGAAAGAAAATAGAGGGGGGATAGAGAAAGAGAGAAATAAAACATCGAAGTGTAGAATAGGCTGTGTTTTGGTAGTGTGATATTAACAGATGAGTTGCTAATTACTGGAATTCATCTTGCCTTAGATTTCTGTCCAAGTAACCAGATGAAAAACTTCAAAATACTTGTTTTTGGGTCCCTATTAACTTTTATTACTGTCATGTAAATTCTGTTGTACCAGTAGTTCTTTAAGGAAAACTGACTTAGATTTTTTTCTCTTTAGAATTGTGTTCTTAAAGGGATATTACAGAAAAAATAGTCAGGTAGTTTAATTTAGTTGAATGTTTTCATTTTTGCTAGTAATCTTTTTCTTACTGACACTGCTTTGAATTTAAGATACAAAGAAATGATGCATTCCCTGAAGAACAGCATGATGGTAGTGGTGGAATCTATGATTGACAAGTTTGAAGAAGATGAGATGCGAAGTCGAGAGAGGCAGAGAAAAATCCAAAAGGAGAAAAGCAGGAGTTACTGCACAGACAATTGCTCTGACAGTGACTCCTCATCCAATCAGGTGTGTGGTTTAGTTTTGCATTTATGTCTTGAGATGGTGTTTAATAAACACGAGCTTCAGTGCATGCTTTATTAGCCAGGTTATTTTTCTGCTTTCTAGTTTTAAGATGCAGAAGAAAAAGAAATAATAAAGTAATCTAATAGTAAAGATTTAGTTCATGAAATAACATCTTCTGGCATTACTTGTTCACTGAGTGATTACACTCTGTCTGAGGCATGGAGAAAGGCTAAGGAAAAGTACAGGAAAGAAAAGGACCAAAAGTTCAAGCAGCATCATGGTTATGCCTAGGGCACTATTAGTGCCTTCTTGTTTGTGTTGTTTTATCTTTCAGTATTACTCATCTCACATTTCTGAGTACAAAACATTTTGGCTTTATGTCTTCTGAGTCTTATTATGTTCTACACATTGCAGTTGCTCAGCAAATAATAATAGTTTTCATTTGCACGAAGGTACACTGTTCTGGGACATTCAGCTCCCATTTAAATGCCCTGGGAAACCAAAATTCTCTATTTGCTGCCAAATCAAAATAGATCATCCCTTTCTCTTGTTCTGAATGCCTTTTTTTTTTTTTTTCGTTTTGCTTGGAAGTATATTTAAAAATCATTTATAGAAGTGCTTCTGAAAGTCTACTAAATAAATGACTGTTCTGTCAATTGTGTTACAGAGTTACAAATTTTTTCAAGGAAAATTACAATTGATTTTAGACCAGTTGGATCCAGGGCAACCCAAAGAGGTACGTTTAAAGGATAACTGTCAAGTTCATCTGTATGTGTTTGTATATATGATTAGAATCGGAAGCAGCTGGGCTGTTTCTTTTTGAAGATTGTCTTTATTGTTATGACAATACTAGACAATACTAGACTGATCGGCCTGCTAAACTTCTCAGTCTGGAAATGAAAGGTCAGAGGGAGGGACTTTCTCCTAAGAGAGTAGTCATGGCTTAGAAGAGGGAATTTTTATTTGTAGCTTTAATTTTGAAGAGATGAAGTTATGAGCAGTTTTCCCCCAAACAGTTCCTTCACTGTTGCTTTGTATATGATATTTTAGAAAAAAACTCGTTTAATATTCTCTCTACTTCTGAAAAATGTGAGCAACTTTGACAAATATTCATTGATTAGAAAAAGGATTTTAAAAGCAATCCTATTGAATTGTATCTGTTTATCTTTTAAAAGTTTGTATAAATTACTGTTTATGAAGTATTATTTCATTTGAAAGTCAGGCTGAACTAGAAAATATGATAGGATTTTGAAGTGCCTAAGACTCTTGTGTATTTCTTGCCATTTGGTCTCCACGAATGAATAGTTACAATTTACTCCCACTGATTTTCTAAAAAGTCACAGAATAATCTTTTTCCTCTCAGCATTTTGCATTCTGATTTATTTTTTAGGTTCTTAGTAAATACTATGTATCAAAAGATATTGAAATGGGATTTGAGTTTTATATGATAATAATCTTATTGTGTTTAGTTTAAGTGATTATTTGAAAATCTATACTTGTTCAGAAACCTTATCTACTTTTGGAAGTAGGACATTCCCTCCCTCCCTCCCTCCTCCCTCCCTCCCTCCCTCCCTCCATTCCTTTTTAATCCTCACCTGAGGAGTGAGGATAATTTTCCCATTGATTTTTAGAGAGTGCAAGGGAGAGAGAGAGAGAGAAAAAAAAATCAATGTGAGAGAGACATACCAATTGGTTGCCTCCTGCTCCTGCCCTGACCGGGCCTGGGGATTGAGCCTGCAACCAAGGTACATGCCCTTGACCAGGAATCAGCCCCAGGGCCCTTTTGTCCCTGGGCTGACACAAACTACTGAGAAAAACTGGCCTGGGGAAATACTTTTTATTTTTTATTTTTATTGATTTTAGAGAGAGAAGA